TTTTGCTGTTGTGCAAGAGCTTGGAAAACGAGACTGACCATACTTGGAAGATCAAACCAAAGCACCACAGCTTCTTAGATTTATTGCTCCAGAACTCTTGTCCATCAGACAGTTGGACATATCGAGACGAAGACTTTGGTGGCTTCCTAGCTCACTTAGGAGCTGTGAAAGGTGGAAGCCACAACACTTATTCCATAGGCATGAGTGTTCTGCAAAGTTTTCGAGCACAAGTGATTCCAGAGCTGAAGTGAAAAGTTTTGCTGCCAGGATCTGGGATAAGGAGGTTTCAAGTCTCCTGCTGAAGGAGGTGCAAGATCTCCTTGCAATTGAAAATTTAAGGAGGAATTTTAAGGAGGAATTTTTCAAAAATTCCACCTTAATTTAAGGAGGAATTTTAAGGAGGAATTCCTTAAATAAGGAGGAATTCCTTAAATAAGGAGGAATGGAAGTTCTGGGTACCTTTCATCGCCGGCTGCAGCCACTTTACACGGAAAAACACAAGGTTTCGTGCTCCGGCTTCCTCCCCACAACATAGCCCATGTAAGATTCACGCAACCATTCCAATGCGATCTGCAACCACAGCTTCAAGAAACGCATAGAATGACGTACACAGGAACAACCATTTCTTGCAAAACACATAGGAGGAACGATTCGCGCACAAAACGACCCCAGCCGCACCCGTCGCACAGACGAGGTACCTTTCATCGCCGGCTGCTGCCACTTTACACGGAAAAACACAAGGTTTCGTGCTCCGGCTTCCTCCCCACAACCTAGCCCATGTAACATTCATGCAGCCATTCCAATGCGATCTGCAACCACAGCTTCAAGAAACGCATGGAACTACACACACAGGAACAACCATTTCTTGCAAAACACATAGGAGGAACGATTCGCGCACAAAACGACCCCAGCCGCACCCGTCGCACAGACGAGGTACCTTTCATCGCCGGCTGCAGCCACTTTACACGGAAAAACACAAGGTTTCGTGCTCCGGCTTCCTCCCCACAACAAAGCCCATGTAACATTGATGCAGCCATTACAATGCGATTTGTAAGCACAGATGCAAGAAACGAATAGAACTACGCACACAGACACAACCACTCATTGCAGAACACAGAGGAGGAACCGATTGACCTCGAAACGATCGAAACCGCAACCGTCGCACACACGAGGTACCTTTCATCGCCGCCTGCAGGCACTTTACACGGAAAAACACAAGGTTTCGTGCTCCGGCTTCCTCCCCACAAGATAGCCCATGCAACATTCATGCAGCCATTCCAATGCGATCCGCAACCAGAGATTCAAGAAACGCATAGAATTACGCACGTCCCTTCCTCATCACTTCCTTATCATTTCCCATCGTCACCACTGCCATTCCTCACCACTTCCCATCGTCACCACTTCCCTTCCTCATCACTTCCTATTGTCACCACTTCCCTTCCTCACCACTCACCCTTCATCAGAGTCAATTCCATTGCTTCTTATTCTTTTGTGATGTATTGTTATATTATGTATTGTTATATGATCTACCGCCCTTCCTCAAGGTCAATTTCATAGCTTCTTATTCTTTTGTTATGTATTGGTAGATTATGTATTGTTAAATGATCTACCACCCTTTCTCAAGGTCAATTTCATAGCTTCTCATTCTTTTGTTATGTATTGTTATATGATCTACCACCCTTCCTCAAGGTCAATTTCATAGCTTCTTATTCTTTTGTGATGTATTGGTACATTATGTATTGTTATATGATCTACCACCCTTCATCATAGTCAAGTGCACCAAGTAAAAGTCATTCGTAACTCGGAAGTATTGCTTCCCAACTTCCTTTGATAACTAATCATCACTATGGTCATTACATTAACTGTCAGTTATAGCTACAACATAAAAATTCTATGATCAACCATCACATCCTGTGATTAACCATCACTATTCTATACATATTGCTCTGTCCATGTCCATCCCTTGATTGATGACGAATTGAGGTGGGCAACGGCATGCAGAGGTGATTTCCATGGATATTTCATGATTTCAGGCTGGTTTTGGGGCTTGGTGGCTGTGAGGAAACTCGGGACAATTCCACGGAAAATCATGGAGCATCATGGAAAATCAATGAAGATCACGTTTGTTTTTCGGGATGTCCGACTCTTTCCGCGAGTTGAGGGTGACTTTGAAGGGCAGCCTTTTTTAAACCAACTGAATCCGGTATTTGGACCCAACATGACCCAACTTTATTGGAGGAAAACATCATCATTGCCACAGGTTTCCTTCTCCCAGTGTCTTCCTCCAGGGGGCCGCTCGTGGCTTCCGCTGGCGTGGTTAATTTGAAAGGTGAAGGTTTTTGGGAGCCCCCTTCAGCCAGGAGTTTTGGATGATTCTTGATGATGTCCGAAGATTTTTGCTGATGTTTGAATATTTTTGATGATGTCCGAAGATTTTTGCTGATGTTTGAAGATTTTGAAGACACACATAAAACCGGTGGAATGGACGCATAGGTTATTTCCGCAGGGGTTCCCGAGAAGACGCCTTAACATGGCTTGGAACTGGTTGGGAGAGAATTTCCCGAGCCCCGTCCACACCATCAATGGTGGATCCCTAATCAACGGCACTGCCGATCATAGGGACACACACACATATACCCAAAAATATTTCATAGCATATTGATGCATATTGGCATATTTGTGTGACATGATGTTATATCATGTTACCCTCTGGTAAACTAACATAGCTATGGAAAATCACCATTTTTAATAGGTAAATCAACTATTTCTATGGGCCATGTTCAATAGCTATGTTAGTCATTACCAGAGGGCATATCATAATATGGCTAGGGCTCGTCCCACTTTATCTTCGGTGACTTCCTCATCATTGGTGTCGCGGATGGGGTGTTCAACCTCAACTTCTGGCCATGCCTAGCTGGTGCGGGATCTAGCAAGCCCACCCGGTTTCTGATCATTTGATGGCTTAACATAAACTAAAATAAGATAAAGTAACATGAAAATAATAACATCATGATATGATAAAGCCATGGATCATGTTATTTTAATGTTATTTTCACTTTTCTCACGATGACTTCCCCAAGCAGGAACGCTAATTTTATACATTTCTATACCATCGTTTTTCCCGAATTTTCATGGTTCAGTCTATGTTTCCTCAGAAAAGTGATGAACCCACGCCGAACAATCGATTCCGACCACTAGTTCCTGCACTGCAGCTTTGAAAATGACCGGCATCCGTGGCTTTTTGCGCCACAGGGATGCAGAATTGCACAAGCGGAATAGAAAGGCCAAAGCATATCGAAGAGAAGGTGCTGGCATGCTCTCTAAGAGTATTTTTGGAACATACTAAAAGGGAAGCTTTTCCAGGCGGTTTCGGATATTTTTCATACTTTGTCATCTGTTCTTTTTCTCCCCAGATGCGTTATGATAGCTTGTAGCTTAAACTTTAAACCAACAAAAAATATCTCAGGAACAGGTTCTGACGACCTCACCGCATCGCATTGGCCTCACCTTTAGAAACTTTAGAAGTTTGATGAAGCTAATGACCGTCGCCAGTGATGCTCGGGGCTCGAGCGACCTGAAATGGCCTCAGCAAAAAAGCGTACTGTACTGATTGATGTTGAGGAAATCATGAAACAATGGTCATGGCTTGAAGGGTGTTTCCATGATCGAGCACGCTGGCGATGCCAATCTCTCTGCGCGCCGTGCGTTGCGCGCACATGAAGTTCACGTGATCAGGGACTCGCGAGCATTCCAGGATGAAGCGTCATGCAGGCATTCGGATTTATTGGTAGATCTCATGTCCTTGGTTCCATCACCAATTTTCTGGCCTGTAGCACTATAGCTAACGCATGCTTCGGAAATTGTGGATGGTCAACTTTGTTTTGGTTTCCTGGCGCCCCGGGGCGGTCGCAGTCCCATGCGAGTGAGTGAAGAAAAGTGTGCAGGCAACACGCATGATTTTGCGTCTTGCTAGATTGGTGCGTTCATGTCGGTTCCATTTCCAGTTGTTGGTTTCCAGGTGCAATGGGTGTTTGTTTCGTCACACAACCAGCTGCAGCGCCTAGCGCCATTGGGCCCAAGTGGTGCCCGCTGCCACTGTGGCAGTGGCATTAAGGGGGCATTTCCTTAAGGCCCAGGACCGTGTCTGTTCAGAAACGGTAACGGTAACCAGAAGCATCCCGGTCTGACTGGTTTCGCCTTTGATGTGCTTGATGTGTCAAACACTTAGGACTTAGGCTGGTTTCAAAGGTCTTTCATGGTCTTTTCATATTTTCAAGGAAATCTTTCCATCCTGTCCAGCACCCGCGTACCAGGCCTTACGGCCGAAAACGCCGCTGATTGCGCGGATTTCTTCGCCCTGGCGGTGGACGTTGCTTAGGTCGTTGCAAAGTTGCTCGGCTTTCCTCAGTCCAAATCTGGCTGATGGTTTTGGTTCATCCTTCAGCCTTCAATGGCCTTATTTTACGCTAGTGCATGCATGTGCATGCTAGTAACATAGATCATAATTATTGGACTTCTTCATGACCAAATGTCCCAGTTACATCCAGTTGCTGGATTTTGGAGTTTGATCAGCTTTTGATGTTGGAAACAATCCTTCAGAAGTTGGTTCTTGGGCCGACCATTTCCGAAACCACCCAACCCCTGGGCCAAGCTACTGCAGACTGTTCTGGCGCATTTGACCATTTCCGAAACCACCCAACCCCTCACATCTTCACCACCAATCATAAGATATTCATAAGATATACTTTGTGAAATGGCTACAGTACCATTCCAATTTTTTGCTGCCTCAGCCCTCATTTTTGCTGGTAACAAACTGCTGTGTCCTGCTACAGACGGTTGACATTCACCAACAGTTCCATTTGATGAAGTGCCTTTGGGCGCCCAACCGCCATACCCCCTATTTAGATTTATTTAGTACCATTTAGTACGCCCACGATGTTTCAAGATCTTAACCCCAACCCTTATTGGTACCCTGAGATTTTCAATAAGAACAACCCAGGATGACGATTGCACACTACATGGATCCAGAGCAAACCTCCTTCTCCGAACTCTACAAGTTCAAGCGCGGCTCGCGCGGCCCCAAAGGCTACCGAGGCTATACCATTCCTTTAGAGGCGCAGATCGATCTTGGAGCTATCCTGCATCCATAGCACATAACGCTTCATGATGATAATGTACAATGTCAGTATGAATAGTAATGACGTATTGATTAAGAACCAGCACATAGGCACGCACTATCATTATTATATGAGACGTTGTCAAACCAGATCACTATCTTCATAACTATAACTATCCATACCGTAGATGGACGAATTGTTCAAACCCTTGTAATCCAATAACCCCCTGCAACCCCAATTACAATGTTGTTGTTTTGGTTTGGTTCGCTCCTTTGAATGGACGAAAAAAATCAAACCCTCAGGTCAGGAACAAAGATACGGAACCAGAACGTTGAATTTTTTTGGGACAGGGGGTAGCCTACAACTCATGGATGCGGGGTTTGAATAATTTGTCCATCTACTGTAGCATTAATGATAGTGATCATGCAGAGATAGTAACGATCCTTTTTCCCTCCATGGCGCTGTGCCTGTACCAGAAGACAGGGGCCGCGTGAAGCTCTGAAGTATGGGCTTTGCGCTCAACCCGGTTCTTGCAGCGCAAGGGTTTGTCTGAAAATGGACTAGAGCGAAAATTCCACAGTTGTTGACATTTAATGTGTATATATTATATATATATAATATATATATATTATATAGCCTTGAAACCTGCCAACAACAATTGGAGTTCTAGCTGCAGTCGCCAGGTTCCATTGATAGAAGAGGTCACCAAGAAGCCCAGCAAAGCCCTGAACGGCAGCGCGAATCGAGACGGACACTTGGCCGAAGTGGCTCCGGTGTGGTTTGATCCAACGGGGAGCCATTGGGAACCCTTGCGAACCCTTAAAAACCATGGATTTTCATGGATTTTCATGGATTTTCATGGATTTTCATGGATTTTCATGGAGTTGGTAGGGCTGACCCATCCCTTTTTGAAGTTTGGCCGCATGACTGGTCCGCTTTTTTTTAGTAGGGAATGGGGGAATGGGAGGATGGTTAGTTATTAAAGATCATTCCACTACTAAGCAGCAGTAAGTTTATCAATATTTATCATTTTCAAAAGCACTGAGGTCTGATGGAGATCTTTTGGTCTCCCTTCTCCGTCCTACTGGTCTTTGTTCCGCTGGGTGCATACTCGGCCTCGCATTGGGAAGACGGCTGGACCTTCATTTTGAACTTCATCGTGGCATGTCGAATCCTGGGGGATGGACTAAAACCACGAAAAAGGGCACAGATTTCGAATGATTTCGACCACTTAAAATCTGTTGAAATAGATTGAGGTCGCCTGAGTCTCCGTCATATTTTTATGGCTATCCATGGCTATCCACACTGTTGATCCATCCCAATTCCATGCCCATTTCCTGGTGGAGCCATGCTCGAGCCAAGTAGATATGGATGTGGGATTTCTGCTGTGGCTAGGTTTAAAAACTAGCTATGACAAACTGGGGCCTCGTTTCGGAGAAATTTGATGATGCATTTCACATATATATATATACATATGGTTTTAGTACCTCCTAAGTTCTGAGCATGCTATTGAAATTGCTTGTCTTTCAGAGTCTTGGATAGACCCGCATGTCAGGTAGTAACCTTATATATATATAACATCTATCAAAATCTTATAACCAACTCCATTTCTCCAAGGTTCTAGATCCGCAAATGACAAGTTTCGAAGGGCTATCTCTGACATCTTTTGACATCTTTTGACCATTTTTGGGACCGAGGCACTCCTACCATTGGCCAAGATTTTGGGAGATGCCACGGAGGTGGACCTGTGGTATCCTGTGGTCATTTTTGATGGGAAAAACCCATGGAAAAACCATGGGTGATAAATTGATGAAGCCGGTAGAGCCTTGGGGGTTTCTCGCGGGATCTGCCGGTTTCCCCTCATTTTTCAAAAAGAACGCCTGAATTTGATTCAGGATCCGTTTCGCCATGAAATGCTGACGTTTGAAATGCTTCGAGGCTGTTTGAAAGAAAGACATAGAAACAGACTGTAGAATACAGTGGCACAGGTCGATAGATGATGGATGAGGATAGGTCAGATCTGGGTCGGGTCCGGATCCGCGGGGTGGCATGGCACGGCAGGAGTTGGCGGTGGCCATCAAGAACGATGCAGTGGCGCCCTGGCAGATATCATAGAGCCCTGGCGAGTTGGGCCATGGGCAAAATCATTTTTGGGTCCCCCATGGTCCCCCATTTTTCAGGTTTTACCCTCTGGTAAATTAACATAGACCCTGGCAGTCATCGGGGTTGGAAGACTAGTGTCCATTAACAATTGGTTATTTTCAGGGTCTATGTTTATTTACCAGAGGGTACATATTTCCACCTGAAATAGAAAGAGACTGAAGTTGGGATTCCATTCCATGGCATGGTGGTGGCTTCGGTTATGAGGCTGGGATGCTGAATGCCACCTTTGGCAATGTGGTGGAGATGATGATCACAGTGAATACCCTGCGGGCCACCAGGCCCAGGGGCTCTCGTTGATAACCGAAAGATGCGGAAAAGTCTGGCTCGGACTTGAAGCTTTTCCCATCCTTTTCTTTTCCCCATGTTTCTGTACTTTCTGTGGATGTTTGCCATAGTTTTTCATCATTTTTTGGATCCATTTCTGAAACATATTTTTTTTTGTTTTTTTTGCCATAGTTTTTCATTTTTTTTCATCATGATGTTTGAATCATTTTTGATCCATTTCTGTGGGTTTTTTGGATCACGTTTGATCCATTTTCCAGCAGGATGCCTGTGGCGCAACGAACGGATGTGGTGAAGTGCACCTTATTGGGCTCCATCCTTTCGAATCTCCTGCCCCTTGGCAATGTCAAGATGATGAAAAATCATATTGATGTAATGTTATGTGAATTACAATGAGTTAAGCTATGTTAATCATATGTAATTTAATTATATTTAATTACGTTATGAACTTCATGTAACTTCCGAACATGGAGAACAAATGGATGGTTACATAACGTGACCAACTGTCTGGACCCTGGTTGAATGCCAATGACTCAACCAGGGGAGCAATGCTCACAAGACATGATGAAACCTGTGGATATCTGTGGATCATCATTGGCGATGACTGAAAACTACTGGAGCAAAAAAGAGGTGAGGTGTTCTAAGGTGTCTTGAAGGTTTTTTGGGACCTTCACACTGCTAAATTTCACGGAAGCAGGGCATCTGCTGAATCTACAATATATCAATACCTGGGGTGTATTCTTCGCAAGCTGAGTTACCGGATGATATCGGATACTTGTTCACATCCATCATTGCCATCCTCCATAATCCAGCCTCTTCTGGTTGCATCTCGGGGATATGAAACAGCTGTGCTATACCCCAAGTGCTGATTTTGATGGAGAATATTGAGGATTTCACAAGTGGATAGCTATATCAACATATATATAGTTATAAATAAATAAATAAATAAATAAATATAAATATAAATATATATATATATATATATCCATTATAGCCTATTTTCAGTCTCAAAAACCTCAGAGCTTTTGAGAAAAAAGGTTCATGTGGGTAAAACAATGTCATTTGCACCATCCCCCAGTCATCACCATTTTGAAAAAATTGGGATTTTGACCATTCCCAAAAGCCCCACTGTCCGCAGGTTGGTGCTGGGAATGTCTTTCTGTTTTGGTGGCCTTACCAAGGCGTACTGACAGGGGGATCTGTCTGCCATTGGAATGCTATGTGTATGACATGATGCAAACATAGCCTCTGGTAATATAACTATGGACAGATCCACCATGTTTAATGGAAAAATTCACTATACATGGCAATTTTCAATAGCTATGTTAAATTCCAGAGGGTAGATATACTATCCGTACATGTTACAGTCATATACTGTACATGTGATGTCATATGCTGTGTGTCAATATACATGCGTATGCCAACAGATCAAGATAGTGGAAAACTCTCCTTATCTTCCGAATTTCGACGCCGGCGCGCCAGGTCAAAGTACAGGCAGCCACGACAATAGTTGGAGGGGTTACTGGGCTGGGAATCTGGAACCTTTTTTTTTCTCCCTCAGATGGGCCGATGGGAAGTAAAACCACCCGAGCGATGGCATTCTTTCAGGGTTTGAATTGTTGAACTTGTAGGAAATGGATGAAATGGGCATCCGGATCACCTGGCACTCACTTTTTCTTTCCACCAAGATGTGGGTTGTGAAAGAATGCCACAGTTGATTCACCAGAAATTCGCCGGAGCCGGACTTGGCCCAGGAAAAGGAGCAGAAATTTGCCATGAAAGGCGTCACCATGAGTATGGGCTTGTTGACCTTCTGCCACTTGGATCCAGCTGGACGGCCCTCAAACCACCAGCAACTTGACTGCTACATCCAAGCCTGCCCCGGCCCAGGCTGCATGTCGTTTGCGCTGCCCACCTTATTTGCACAAGGACCCAGCAAAGCAGGATGCTGATCAGAGCTGGCTGTTCGGGTGCATATGAAGGAATAAATATCACTGGTATATCGGTATATATATATAGACTAATAATGACTAATATTGACCTTGTACATTCTTTTTTCCTACAATTTTTTGGGGCAGAGAAGGGGCAGAGTATCAGAGTGACGCTTCACAGCAAGGATACCAAAACCACCTGGGTGACCTATTGGACGTCTCGCGCAATGGCTCACTGTATCTTGGCCGAGGACCAGGAGGGCGAATGGAAGAGGTAGACCAAGCACCATTTTTCATGGGATATCATGGGAAAATCATTGAAAATCATCTATCAATGCGAGTATCTCTAACAGCTAACATCATCCAGTGGTTGGTGGTCTTCAAACATTCTTTTTTCACCCCCGGGATGAGAATCCCACTACTTTGAAAAGAGGGTTGACCCCACCAACATCATCCAACTGAGGTTGTTAGGTTCAGCATATCTGGCATTTTTGTTCTTCCAGCTGGTTTCGCACAAGCAAACCCTCGAGACTGAAGAGGGTGAACTGATGCTGGGCGCTTTTATGGAGGGAATGGATCGATCTGTTGCCGCGAAAAACCCGGGGCACTTTTTGGATCTCTACTGAGGAAGGATGCTGAAGACGAAGAGAACGAGGAGTGGGGCCTTGATGTTTGGTTGGCGGTTAAAAAAAAACATATGTTTCAAGGCTCATGAAAATTCTCATCATTGTTATTCATTGTTCATCCTGGGACGATGTTTGATCTCCAGTCACCACATATATTTTTTCAGAAGTTTCAGTGAATTTCAGTGGCTCACCAGCCCTTGACGCGCCTTGGTAAACACCAGCTGTTTGGTTATCGGTTGCCAGGAGCGGCCGCCATTGTCCATTTGGCTATCGGTCTCCATGATGATCGTTGTAACAGTCGCTTAGCAGCATGAGTTATGGCGGTATAGCTATAGATAGCAGTTGTAGTTGTAGATTTATAGTTAGTTTAAGAATTTAGAGTTTATATGAGTTTATAGTTTGCACTCTATAGTTTATAGTTTTAGTTACAGTAATTTATGATGATAGTTCTAGTCATAGTCATAGCTATAATTTGATGATATAATGATAATGATGATGATGATGATGATGATGATGACGATGATGATGATCATCATCATCATCATCATCACCAGCAGAGTCCGCCTTTCTGAGGTGGTGACTGACCTGATCTCGGATTACCTCTGTGAATCCATCAATGGAGTAACAGAGAACATCAACGTGGCCTTTCTTGGCACCATCGATGCTTGGCTTTGCAGGGGAACCGAACCACGGAACGGGAAAAAAAGGGGGACAGCCCGGCTACTTCCATTTTGACACACATGACATACGTGATCAGATGTTTAACACATATTTACATTGTTTATCATTGTTTTGGTTGTGGCATGGTCGCTTCAGAAAATCTGGCTCTCCAAGTCGCAGAAGCCGCAGCAATCACCAGTGACTAATCCACAGTGGATGGTCAAGTAGGAGCCCATGGGCGCCAAATTCTGGGTCTAGTGAACAATCATAGGAACAAACACATCCATTTGCGCGCCATGGTTGTCAAAAAAAACCTGAATCCATCTCAATCACCATTTTATGTGTGGTGGAATCCACATATTTTGTTGATAAAATATGGTACTTCCTTGCACAATCCCTGACACCCTTTAAATCCATCTAGCCACCCCATTTGGATCACCTCCCCAAGAATGGATGATTAAGGAGCCTTACAGTAAGTTGGTTAAATGCACGTTCTTGTTCATCAAACATATGGTAAATCCATCCAAAAACCCATAGAACAAGCCATGGAAACTCCAGCTCGGGGGAAACTCCAATACCGCTGGTTATAAACCAGTATATCACAATTATGTCCCAATATCGTTGGTGATATCCCATGTCTCCATTATGGTTGGTTCAATCTCCATCGAAGTCAAACTGAGGGCGGTGTCATCAAACATGGCTGAGAAATCCCGGCACTAGCCACGGAGGTTTATGGCTGGGAAAATCATCGAACTAAATAGTGGATGTTCAAGCAGGCCATGTTTTATGACCGGAGGGTATTGACCAATATTCCATGATTATCCCATTGATATGCCATTCATATTCCATGATAGCACCAGTTTTTCCACCATTTTTGTTGGTTAAATCATAGTTACTTATCCCATCACACGAGTTGTTCCATTAAATCCATCAAATATCCAGCTAATGGTAAAAAATCCATTAAATCCACAATTAATTCTCAAAAATCAAATGTCAATCATTATGGTTATTAGTCCATCATATTGCATGGAGACCCCAGGAATACTAATCTTACCATTTGGTTATTTAAAGTAGCCAAAATCATCATTTTATAATCCATAAAAGGGACCATTTTCCATAGCTATGTTGAGAAGCAGAGGGTATACCATTCAGTATATATCATGGGTGCATCCATTACAGTACTGTATATAATACAATAACCGAGATATCATTAATATCAACATTAATGCATCACAACAAGACGGATCGTATTTTAATCAAGATATCATAATAAGTTATGGATTAATAATCATATCAATTTTACATCACCATTGTATCACTATTATATACATATCTATGTACATTCCTAGGGGCATGTCACAGATTCCCCGACGTCACCCAGTTGCTGCCCATCGCCGGCAACGCCTGCGAACACCTGGGCGCTGTACGCTTCGCCATGGACGATAAACCCGGCCTGGCTGTGGCCTGGAAGACCTGTGTTCAACGGGAATTCCCCGTTGGAGTATGATAACCTCTGGTAAACCTACAAAAAACTATGGAAAGATCCACCATTTTTCACGGGAAAACTCACTTTCAATGGCCATTTTCAATAGCTATGTTAGTACCCTCTGGTAAACATGTTTTCAGTTTGCGAACTGGAAAATGGCCATTGACATAGTTGATTTACCTATTGATAGCATGGTGATGTTCCATTATGTTAGTTTACCAGAGGGTATTGGGTAGTATAATCCCCGCAGTTTGGAGGAGAATGGAGTGGTTTAAGGGGAAAATTTACAGGAAAGACCCTTTTTTTCATGGACAAATCGGTGGTGTCCGGTTTCGATTTTGAAACCAATCCGTTGATTGGAGGAAAAATGGGAGATTTACCAAGAGCAATGGTGAGATTTTATGAGGAAAAGATGATGGGGATAGTAATATATTCATTGGGGGATTTTATAAACGATTTTGTTGCTGGAAATGGTCCTGTTAGGGGCTTTACCCTCTGGTAAACTAACATAACTATGGAAAATCACCATTTTTAATGGGAAAATCCACTATAAATGGTCATTTTCAATAGCTACGTTAAATTACCAGAGGGTATGTGGTTTTATGTGGTTTTATGTGGTCTTAAGTTACCCTTGAGTTGGAGGGCTCCAACTTGGATTGGGATGCCCAATTCCGGCTGGGAAATCCACTATATAATTGGAGGATATTGGAGGTTTATAGCTGGGAACATGATCGAACTAAATTGGAACATCATCTGAGAATTGATTTTCAGGACGGAAAACTCCGATGTACAAAAACCTGATCTTGATCAGTAAACAAAGGGACATAACCGAATGGACCTTTCAGGTTTCAGAATGTGGTTTGGCCGCCAGGATAGGTCGAGTGGTTGTCGCTTTCAAGATGTTTCAAGTCTTTTCCAGCCCAGGAAGGGAAGCACCCAGAAAATGTATGAACATGATTGAAGATGAGATATTCAGATTATTATGTAACAGATATGTTGTCTCTGATGTAGTTGGCCACCAAAATTGGGCCCTGTCACCGCTGGCACATCAGGTTGGCATTGCAGTGGGCTCATCGAAACTTGAAAGCAGTAGCAAAGTGTGCATGCATACAACTGTATACTGTACATGATTGTATATGCATAACATGATGTGCATAATTCAGTATGTGCATGTATGCACGCACACACAGACACACACACACACACATATCATACTGCATATATATATATATTTAGTTTTTTAATTTATTTATTCATTTACTTACTTATATTGTATATTTGTATTTATGCACATGGTGCATATTACATATGCTTATGGATGCAGGACCCCAAAGAGTATGCACGCAGATACCATCAGATACCGAGCATATCCAATATACATCAATATACAATATGTCTATCTGCATGTCCCTGGCCCAGGACTCAAGTGGCACTTTTCGTTGTGCCCTTTGCTGTGATCGTCGGGTGGCTGTTGCTTGACATGGAGGGCCGGCGAGTTCGTTCCTGGCGAGTTCGGGTCAGCATTTCCCACTGAGGCTGAACGTCCCCATGACTCTCGACTTTGGCCCAGTGAACACCGCCACCTGGTGATTTCAGCGGACGCGAGCCTGCGTGGGACAGCATGGGACAGCGATCTGTCAAGATTTAATGATAAAATCATATAAAATCAGGATTTATGTCGAGATGATCCATAAAAAATAACTCCTGACTATGAACCTTGGGGGGTTGCTCCTTATAGTGATCAATTACTCCAAAAAGATGTAGCTTCCCTAAATGGATTGGTTTCAAAATCGGTTTATTGGAAACCAATCAGATTTCCCCATGAACAAATATTGGGCTTTCCTGTAGATTTTCCTGTGGATTTTCCTTTAGACCAATCCATTGGTGTCATCCATGGCCCGCGGCGTTCGCCGTGGCTTTAGACCAGGCCGTGATCTTCTTCTCCGTGCTGCTGGCGACGGTGCTGATGTCCGACGGACGCTCCCATTGGTTGAAGGGCTACCTGCTAATGTTGGCATACACCTTCATTGCAGCATCCTGGCAAAATACCGGGTAGATGTTGGTTTTTAGATGCTGGGTTTTTTGGAAAAGTTTGTTGGACAGATCTTGGGAAGGTCGAGAGTATAATCTGATGTATATTGGTTAAGATTTGTTTTCCAAGATTTTATGGCGAACTGATGTGAATTGCCCTTTCCTGACGGGTACTTTGAGGTCTAGCTTCGGGTACGTCCGACCAGGATGAAGTGGATGTAGGCAGCCATGGGCCATGGCATGTAGATATTTGGGTGGTAAACCATTGGGGGTACACCAAATATGAAATCTTTAAACACACAATAGTTAACACCAATTTACATCATTATAGACTGTAAGCTACTAGTTGTGCACATGTAGTTCATTGTAGTTCCGATGATCCCTGTAAACTCGAACTCAAGCGATCCTCAGGTACTGTTTTGGAATCTGCCGCCGAAGATGGACGAGTGATGCTGTGGCCACTGTCCATCCGGGCCCTTGCCCGGTGTTACCCAAATATTTCTGGGTGGTGGTTTCAAACCATGATGAATATGATGAATATGTTCAGTCACAGATAGTCACAGTATGATTTGAAGATATTCTTGAATACCCGATCCTTGCTCCCAGCTGAAATCTAGGAGCTCCAGCCCCTGGGGTGCATGGCTATTTTTTTTAAGCCTTAGTAAAAATGACTCACGATAGGTCCCTTGATTTTATCAGCACACTTGCTAGATTTTATCTCGATCCTATGTGTGAGATAAATGTGATAAATTCCAAGGGGCCTGACCCCCCTAGGTCCCCTCCAGGGTACTCGCTTCCAAAGAGGACCCAAGGGGGCGTCCAGCCCTTGGATTTTATCTCACTCCAATTTCTGAATTTTATTTTTGTCCTACTTGAGGATCTTGATGCCCACTGGGAATGATGCGAAGATGACGAGCAAGTGACTCATAATTTTGTTTCAGGTGTTCATTGCAACAATCAGAGGTGATGATGCCCCCCTTACTTGCAGAAGAGTTCTTCAAGTGACTCAACCACCAGCCAGTTTCAACGCAAAAATCATGGTTTCTGGCTGTTCACCGTGTATCCGCTGCTCTGGCCGCTATCTTGGTTGGACCAGAAGGGCGGTTTTGAGCTGTTGGAGGTCAGTGAAAAGATAACAAAGCGGCGGCTTTGGATGGCGACCGCATGGCACATCAACTCTGTGAATGGTGGGATAATGTTTGGGAACCCCTCCAAGAATAATGTGGGATGATCTTATTGTTGCACTCAGAGCTTCGGACCAGAAACGTTTGAGAATTGTTTCAAATTCTGCTCCGCAGGTTTGCATTGTGAATCCTCCCCGTTGGAAATCAGCCCACTTGAGAGAAAGGACCACACCTGAACAGCTGAACACTGGGTAAAGCTTGGTATGGTAGACTAGATTCACGCCTCATCATCCCCAATAAATGGATACCACTTGGGGATCATTATTGCATGCCAGGCTTACTTCAGCTTTGGGAATTCTTCTATATTCTACTATCTGGTGGGTAGGGGGGAGCGATTCGGTACTATGGGTCTCCATATTCCCTATTAAATACTACTAAATGGGAGCCAATGAGCTACACATTGAGGTTCTCAACCACATGATAGCAGCCCAAGTCTGGTTGTCAGTGATAATACTAATTCACCCAATATTTCATTTCAATGGACTGGTTGAAGGGAAATTTTACAGGAACCCCCCCCATATTTCATAGTAAAATCCATGGTTTCTGTGTTCGATTTTCCCTTCAACCACTCCATTGATCACGGCCCAGGCTACGTCCTACGGCCGCACGGCTGCCTTCTGGGTGGCCGCCAGTTACGCCCCGGGGATCGCAGGGGAGCCATTGTGGTGGCAGACCAGCTCGAGCAGGACAGCGTTGGCATAGGAAAAACCGGGTGCATCGGAAAAAACATGGGATTTGACCATAGGCAAGTTGGATTTTATATGATTTAACATGATTTAATCATGAAAAAATGGGATTTCGCCACTAAACAATTGGATTTGAGATGATAGAACCATCAAACACTGTGACTTAACCATCAAAAATTGGGATTTGAACATTGACAAGTGGGATTCAACCATTGTGGACTTAACCAACAGATAGGGGATTTAGCTGGTAATTGTATGTTATTACCATCTGGCAGAGGCTTGGCAATGTGGCCAACCAGAATCTTCGATGCTTCCCCTTCCAAAAAAGAAAACAACACGAGGAGCGCTGGAGAGAGCAGCAGCCAAAGATGGAGATTTCATGCCCGGCCCTCGGCTCTGTAGCAATGGAACATCTCGATCTCTCTTCATTCGTCTTTTGCATCATTTGCCATGGTCAGGTGTAGCCAGCGAAGAGCTGCTATTGGAGGCTCAAGGGAATCCCAAAAGCCACTTTAACATTTTTTCTTTTTGGATCGTAATTCTCCCAAGTGGTAGCTTTATGATTGGGTTTTCTCACATTTACATAGAAGAAAATGCAATTCCTGCGACACTTTCAATGCCTGGAACCTCAAAGGATCCCAGACTCGAAGACTCCAGGCATTCGTGCAGTTGGTCCGAGGGGCTGATCCTGATGTGGGGGGCCTTAGGACAAGTCTGAGAAACTCTCAGAATCCAAAGAACAAAAATCTAGAAAAACAGGATTCCCCGGGTTATTCACATCTATAAAAACCCTGGTTTCCATTGGTTTCTGAAATGAATTATTCCCCTATGTATCGGGTTAACATTAAAACAGCCTGGGTTCCATCGGTTTCCTATGAGTTTTCGCATGGAATTTCAGGTCTGTTTGGGCTGGGAACTGCGGAACCGCAGCTGGGGTTTGATCCTCGGTCGAGCTAAAGCCCTGGGACGGAAGGACAGCTGGAGCTGGGGTGCAGTTCAACGTATGCGGATGGTTCGCGACCCAGGGCCCAGGGGACGAACATCCAGAGCTACCAGCGATTTTGCTGCGAACTGCAGGGTATCAGGGTTTTGACCCATAACATGTCTTTTTCCCATCGGTTGGTTAATAGATGGCCCCCCAATGTCCACCGATTTCAATCAATGGCCAATAGTCAAAGGGTGGTAAGTGCTCTTCCACTCAATAAGTGGATATATGGCCATACTTGTTCGAGCCTGATATCCCATGTAGGGTTACACGGGGGGTTCTGTACTACAGTAATTGGTATGGTGAGGAAATCAAATTCATAAACTGAGATTCAACAGGGACAACCGGGTTTAAAAACCGAAAAAAAAACGAAACTGACCTGAGAAATGATTAGTGTGGACAACTTGGGAAAATCGGTTTTTATTTACCATTTTCTCCCAGTATTTTTCCCGCCGTAGTTTCTGTTTTCAACCCATTTTTGCAGCTGCATATTTTTGCATGGAAGCATCCTGCTTAGTCACTTCCATTGGCCAAGCAATTTTTTTGTTGGCGCAGGACTTGCGTGCAGCATTGTCGCGGGTGCCCCAAGACGTACACACCTCGGTTTCCGAAGCTGGACTTGCCATTGCTTAATTGTTGCTTGCACATCTTGTGTTTCTTTTTGGATATTTTTTTGATCCTGGTTGGAATTTCAACTATAAAACCATGACCCAACAGTCACCCCCAAATACCAGCCCCGATTTTCTTTGTAGGTCTTCAACCGTTCTGTGGTGACAGATATGCGCCGAGGCTTCCACCCTCCTGACCTATGAGCCCAGTAGCGAACTGCGTCCAGGGCAGGGGCAGGATCCAAGGACGTATGAGCCCCTTGCTGCAGTGGATCGTTTTTTGTGGGGCTGGGATGTTGGAGTTTTCAGACGTTATTTTTAAAGATGTTCCATAGGTTTTCTATTGTTTTTTTTTAAAGTTAAAGGTATATATGTATATGTGTTTCTCATGGGCTTTCCAATTCAGAAAAATGTGGACAAGAATCGAGAAGGGGCTCAAGGTGTCAGAATTTGCAGCGACCCAGCTGGATGTCTTTTTGGGCCTTTTTGGGTGGCATGACCCATCTGGATGTCCAGCTGGATGATGGGGACGGCGCCAAGCGATGCATAGTTTGAGGCTTCTGAACTTGATGCTTTCCAAAGGAAGTTTTATTGATTAGCCAACTGAACTTTATACGAATTTAAGACATGCTAAGAATATCTAAGAATAAGTTGCTGAACATTTTTTACCGGTGGTATCACAAGAATGGTTGCTGTCGCCTGGTGAGGTCTGAAATGGTGGCACCCAGTGAACTTCAACTCCCTGGGCGAATGGTGCTCAACGTGGCTTGTCGAAAAAGCTGCTTTCACTGGCTGGAACAATGACTGGTGACTAGTAATCGCAATTTTTAGTGATTATGTGCTTTTCATTGCTTTTCTATCTTTGTGGGGGTTACTATGCTATCTATACAATATCATGTACAGATTAAACATATCGTATTAATCGTATAATGTGGTAAAGCCAGTAAACCTGTCATTCAGGGATGGTCTTTAAGCCATTTATGGGAATATTGGGGGTGGTTCATTATTGGGTTTGTCACTCATTCTCATTGTTTTCCCATTCTTTTTATTGTCCATGTCTGAAAATGAAGGGACCATGAAACCAACATTTTCATGGTCTGATTTGGAGAATGGTTTCAATTGCCCCTGCATTTTGGAGACACAAAACCACGGATGGCTTGTTGCTGATTGGTCAAACCCGTTTGGGAGCCTTCTTTTATGTACTTTACATGTGCAACTCGCACACACACACACATATATATATAGATAGAACATACATCTATAAGTAGACGCCTTTAGCTTAGCTGAACTCTTTGAGAAGGCGATGGAGAAAAAACGGTATACCGTATACATTTACCGATGCATATAACACAGACACGCACACACACACACACATTAAAGATACATTAGACATACATTTGGAGGTTTCCTGAAATAGGGGTGCCCCCAAATCATCCATTTATAGATATTTATAGATGGTATTTTTCATGAAATCAACCATACATATTAGCATCGCCATAGCTATCCATAGCTATCCATAGCTATCCATAGCTACCCCGGGTATGTCTCCCTCAGGTGTGGCGTTTGCTGATGCACCTGACCTTTGGTGCCAAGCTTCGAAGTTTCGCGCCACAGGAGGCGGCACGAGAACTGTGAGGCGTCCCAGGATTTTGGGATGGGAAAAAGCTGGAAAAAAGGTGGAACAGGCATAGGTGTCGATGTTTTTGTCCTGATTTTTCCTGATTGTCTATGGTTTTAGGACATGATTTTTCATGATGTTTGGTGTGTGGATGATTCTCGTGGGTTGCTAAACCTAGACAGATCGGATGGATTTTGATGATGCAATGTCCCATGGTGGTATTTAATGTATATAGATGGTAAAACAGATAGCCAATCTTTGGATATGAAGAAACGTGGTCTCACGATGTCTCACGTAAAAACGCCCAGAAACCGTCTTCGATCAATCCGGCGTAAGCAGTTCCACAGTGCAACGCAAAGCTTCAATCACTTGAGTCACTCCCTTCGGCCCTTCGATCACTTGAGGTTAGGCCGGGCGTTTCCAAAGTTCTCCTACCAAGAAATGGACGAGCACTGGAAGGGCGATTCTCCTACACGTCTGGCCCGGGATGTCCAGTCTGGAAAAGGAGTTGAACAAAATGGAGGAGATTGTCCAATATCAGCTTGTAGCCATCCCAATTTAAAGGTGTAGAACAGCAAAATCCCAATCTAAAAAGGTGGTATGTGATGCTAAGTTTATCCTTTCCATATTTCTTTTTTCGGGTTTCCGATATGGATTGAGGGATCCCCGAGTTCTGCTGAGGCGCTGTTGCAGCATGTGGCCGCGTTGGCAGCTCTATCCTTGGAGGCGGATGAGTTGACTATTTGGTGGTAAATGGAAGGAACTATAAAGGGGAGCTATGGTTGTATCTTATCCAATTTCCATCATATTCCACCAAAAAAGATCGGGGAGCCCAGGAGCTAGGAATTGAGCTTCCCACATGAACGGTTGATGTGATTCTCTTTTCTTTTATGTTGGGGACGGGGAACTTTTCAGCCCAACTCCAGTGGAAGAAACGGACCAGGGATGGGATGGTGGTTTTTTCAGCAGGTGGCGGATGCACTGGAGATCTTCCCTCGTGCTGGCGAGCTTTCCCGGCTCTTTGGCCTCTTGGCAAAAAAAATGTGGAGCTTCACCTGACATCAAAGAACATCAGGGGACATCAGGGGTTTGGAAATTCCATCCATTGAAAGCTGGGTGCCCAGCTGCATCCAGCTGCACTGAGGTATGGACATCTTGAGTGGCTTCACACGTCCGGCCGCATGGGGAGGGTGGTAGAAGCTAGAAGCAGTGGATTTGTCATTGGGTCAGGATGGTGATGGTGGTGATGGTGATGGTGACGGTGATGGTGGTGGTGATGGTGGTGATGGTGGTGGTGGTGGTGATGGTGACGGTGATGGTGGTGGTGATGGTGGTGATGGTGATGGTGATGGTGGTGGTGGTGATGGTGATGATGATGATGATGATGATGATGATGATGATAATGAACATCAATACAATTAAATCACTTGGTTATTGGAGAACCCGGATCCTCAAAGATGACAAGGTCTACCCAGGGCGGTAACCCCTGCCCTGAGTGTTACAGACGAGGTGGCACACAATTGCGGGTGGAGCCTGTGACCCCAGATGTCTGCTCCAGTGGACTGCATTTTGCTTTGGTTTTCATTGGAGATGCTGGATACATTGTGGGTTTTTCCTCATGGTTTTCTCTATTCATGAGGGAAGAAAAACATTCTGGGATGGTTGCCAGTTGCCGGGGATTTTTTTTGTTGCCCATCTCTGGCGAAGATCGAGAAACTTGTTATGATTTTGCGTCACATTCTGAACGAATGGAATTTGAGCGTTGGTGGCGAGGCGCTGCATGTGACTGTCTTGGCTCAAGTCTCAGATCGGGGGGCTTCACAAGCTCTCAAGTTTCGGCCCGTGATGGCCACTTTCAGCCCATATCCAGGCGCCTACCCTGGTCGCCGCAATCCAGCCGGCAAGGCGCCACAGGGATGGTCTGCTGCGCTGCAGACACGCAAGTATGAGGAAGAGGCTTTGACACCAGTTCAAGTGAAGCGGGAGGCCATTGCTGACAGAGCAAGTCCAGAGAGCGGAGGTGGAGGTGGAGGAGGAGGAGGTGGTGCCAGCTTGCCGTTCATGATCCAGAACCTGTACTTGGCTCCCTGCAAGACTGCCACTAGCACCGCATATACCATGACCAGGCTACAGCCAAAGGACGTGGAGAAACCCTCCTGGGCACATTGAGCACAGCAAGATGCCTCGGGCTGATGGGAAGAGTCAGAAACCAAAAGGGCGCTTGGGTTCTGTGATCCCAAAGCATGCTGCTCTCCGTTGCGCTTGTAGCATAGTGAGTGCTTCTTCCGCGAACAACCGCACCGGCATCCTTCGGTGAAGCTGGGAGAAAAAAAACGGTGCGGCTGCGTGGCCGATAAAGCTTCTGTGGTTTCTGATGCTCAACACGAACATGGGTATGTCTGAAAATGGGGTATACCCCCAATTATAGCCATTTAGTAGGGATAATGATCATTAACCATTGGGTGTAGGGGTACACCACATTTTCAGACAAACCCACATAAGAAATCAAAGGTCATGAGGCAAATCATTCCCTTGTGCCCTCAAGGTCGCTTCTCATGAGGGCGGGGAGCCACAGGAGCCGCAGCTCCGGCAATGAGGGCGGTGACGCAAGCAGTACTTGGAGGATCATCCGAGTTATATAGTACAGTGCTTATTGACTGGGCTTACAACTTGCATATTATAATATAATATAATATAATAAAATATAATAAAATATAATAAAATATAATAAAATATAATAAAATAAAATATAATATAATATAATCATATATAATCAATAAGCAAAGGGCACCAGAATACAAGGTTTACTTCATAATCAATATTATATAGCTGGGAAGCAACCGGGACCGGTCCAGTTGGGGAACTTACTAAGCCCCAGGTGGCTCACGCGGGCGGCTTCAGGCTGCTTTCTGCATCGCAGGACTTGGGGTGAAGTGGGGTCAACATGGCGACCGCTGGCAACCAGACATTCACGAAAAAGGAGAGAAGGAGAATGTAGCATGGAGCCTAGAATCTCTAAACCACACAAATGAATAAGGATATACTGCACACACCCACACACACACGCACACGCATATATATATATACACACATGTATACACTACACACACACAAACATACATACATACATACATGCATGCATACATACATACATACCTACATACCTACCTACATACCTACCTACCTACCTACGTACCTACGTACCTACGTACCTACATACCTACGCACCTACGCACCTATGCACGTACGCACGTACGCACGTACGCACGTACGCACGTACGCACGTACGTACATACCTACATACTTACATACCTACGTACCTACGTACGTACATACGTACATACCTACATACCTACATACCGACATACCCACATACCCACATACCTACATACCTACATACCTACATACCTACATACCTACATACCTACATACCTACATACCTACATCCCTACATGCCTACATACCTACATACACACATACACACATACCCACATACCTATATACCTACATACCTACACACACATACACACACATACAGACATACAGACATACAGACATACAGACATACAGACATACAGACAGACAGACAGACATACAGACAGACAGACATACATACAATTGTATATGCATGGTGTATATCGACTCATTCGACTCGATCGAACTCCAAGATATGGATTATGACTCCCAAGAAATGGATGGTATCTTGCCAGCAAGAGCCCAGGGCCCCGCCCTTCAGAGGAGCAAGTGCGCGCACAGCCGGCCCTGGCCTCTTGGTTCATAGGTGGGATGGGTAGGCCATGATCCAACACCTGGGGATGGTCATGGTGACTGTGCCGCATCCAAGGAATGCTTGTGTGTGGCTCAGATCATCCTCTCAGATCGAGTCTTTCGAGTCTTGTGATTCATGGAGGTGACGCCCAGTAAGGAACATGTTGGTGGGAACGGTCTGGACCATGCTGGTGCTATGGCACTTGGTTTCATCCGCTGTTGTGGCCCAGACGAAGCTTAGAGAAGAATTTTCGCGGCTGGCCTGCGCGTCAGCGCCTCCCCAGACGTCATGGCGTGTGCGACTCAGATGGGTCAGCAAGTGATTCGTATTTTGTTTTCAGTGACATGTTGAGGTAGTGAATCGGGATGTTATATATGTATTATATAAATTATATATATATATATGTGCATAGTTGAAGCAATAAGGGGAGCACATCGAACCCAAGGATCATCAACAATCATCAATCAAGAACCCCACGGATCTCAGGCTGGAGGCCTTCACGCCCCTGGCAGCACCGGCAGCTGCATCCATGGCGCCTCTACAACGCCATCCCAGCGCGTCCTCATCGCGGCAAGGGCCGAGAATGCCAGGAGGAGCGGTGTGTTGGGCCGAAAATAGGGCATGGCATGGCCGAAAATGGCCTGAATTCCCAGTGTTTGTTGTGAACATGTTGTGAACATGTCATCAGTTTCATTCAGTTGCCAGATTTTTTTGAGTTTTGATCCACCCCTACGTGGCCCCATGTGGCAGCATCGCTGCTCTCCAGGGGTCTGGGCCTCCTTGGCTGTTGGGCTGACTGTGGGAGTGGTGGAGAGACAAGGCTGGCCATTGGTTTTAGAGCAATTTTTTTATTTCTTCCGCAAAGTCTTGGCGATTTCTTTAACAGCTTGAAAATCGACTCTTACTGTATACATATATATATATATCTTAATACTGCAGTTTAAAGGGGTCCTCACGTGCTGCACCCCCCTTTTTCATCACTGGCTCTGGACTTTCCTGCCGCTGGGTGCCAGGCAAGTCGGCGAATCGCCAGCCACGGTCGCTCAGAGCCAAGAAGAAGGAGGGCCTGGTGGTGGCATTGCACCGACGTTGCCATTGCGAAATGGGATTGTCGGATTGTCTGAAAACAGAGCACCCATAATCACTATAATCACCAATGGCAATAATCATGGCAATAGTGATTTTGTTGGCTATCTTTGGCTATAATCACTATAATGTCAACCCCGGATTAATAAACCATGGTTTATTAATTAGGGGGGTATTCCCCCAATAGTCATGATTTGATACTTAAATGGTACCTTCCCAATTAAAAAACCTAGGGGTTTATTCATCCAGGGTTGACATTAATCATCATTTTCCCCATGAAAATGGCCATGAATTGGGTGGTAATCCGCCACTTTCAGCCAAACCTATGTGGGTTGGCCAAACATACCCGGCCTGGTAAACTGTTACATAGCGAACTGGAAAGATCCACCATATCATTCATGGGAAAACTTACTATTTCAATGGGCCATTTCAATAGCTATTTTGACATAACCAGAGGGTATCCAACAAGATCCATCAAGATCCGGCAGGAGAGTGAAGCTGGTGAGCTAGTAAGGTGCCACGTCGACGGCAGAATGGGAGGGATATTTGTAGGTGAACATGTATAGAGGAAACATACGTTTTTCTATGGTAAAAGGTTTGTCAGGAAATTGTTTTTTTTTTTTTGAAGGGTCAAAAGTCAGTTTTTGTATGTCTTTGTATGGTGAACATCATGGAAAACCAAGGGCAAACATCACTTTTGCCTGGAAAAACTCCACAAAAAACACCGGGGGTTCCTGGGTTCCTTTTCGAATTTCACCCCCAATCCAACCGCAGTGGTGGGTCTGCTCACATCGCTCCACTCGGCATCTCACCGCCAGGCCCACCTTCGACTTTGCGTATTGGGCGGAGAATGTCGAAGAGGCTGCTTAGAAACCATGGTTTAGTGGGGATTTTCCACATAATTGGGACCATTTATGGGTGTTTAATATTCTGGGTCATGGGATTAAACATGTATAAACCATCCCCAGTCATGGTAGGTGTATGGCATTGGCATGTGGGTTCGATGATACACCATTTTGTCCACTGTTGCCTCATGAATGGAATGGCTCATACATCGGTGGCCCATCGTAGGTGCAGAAGAATGCGGACAACCGCAAGTTCAAATGTGACGTGGCGTGGGCGCCAGTGAGGGTTGGCGATTTTGGCTCACCGGAAGCAGTGCGGAGTGACATGTCCAAAGAATGTGGAGAAATCTCAATGAAAACTCTTTATGACTCCATGATATTCTATCCCTAACGCATTTTTAAATAACAGTTAATTCATCCTGATTCATCGTGTCTTCCTTATCCCCCGGTGGTAAGGCCGAAGTGGCTGCCGTGTACCAAGAGCACCGAAGCAGCTCCTTCGAGCTCCAGTATCTTGTATGATGGAAACATTTAAGCAGGAACCCCCCAAAAAAATTGATGGTAAAATCCATGGTTTCCGGTGAATTGCTTGGTGGTTTTAAATGTGGGTCATTTTCCGGAGACGATGAAGGCACGCGCAGTCATGGGGCGTCTTTTCTTCTTTCTTTTCCTCCATCGCATCATCGCCCAAACCTGTTTAATATTGGATGATCATGGAGGATGATTAGGATTGAAACTATAAATCATTGGTCTGGATTGGTGTCTCAACCACCGTTTGATCAGCTTAAAAGAGCAGGAACGTCCCAAGAAACGGTTCTTCTTCGGCGGCACAGTTGGTTCAGGGCTTCCATGGCCCATATGGCCCCGACTTTCCACCGGCAGCCAGGCAGCTGGCGAAGAAAAGGAACGAACATGCCAAGTCTGGGGGACCTTGTGGATGGTGGATGGTTCCAAGCAAAAGTGGTGCAGTTTGAGCACAGGAGGGCAGGTTCTTGGAGGTTCTTGGTCTTCGGCAGTTTTTCCATGGGTTTTCATAGTTTTTCATCACCAACCAGCAGCTGGCTGCACCAAGCTGCACTGGGAGGGTCCACCAGCCCACCAGCAGCAAGGTCCATGAAGGGAAAGATGGAGCCCGAACAGAGACAGGCCTTGATTGAGGAGGGCAAGAAGATCAAGGAGGACTGGGACGTAGCTTCCAACAAAGGCGATTGGTTGTTTCGAATTGGACATTGGAAAGTAGCGATTTTAAGGACTAACATCCTCAAAGTTCTAAATCTAGCGGCCTAAACCCTGAAAAATCAGCAATTTTGGGAACAGGTCCTGGGCACAACTGGTGGATGTTCCATTTTCACTGCTGCCAACTGCGCCGCAGCTTCCACCGCTTAAGGAGATCAATAGCCTGGAGGCAAAAGTGGATGAGCTGAGCCTGCGGATGAATGCTCTCGCGCTAGCTGTGCTAAACCTCAGCTCGGCTGTGGGGAGTGGGGTGATTTTGTATTTACCGAAATCCATGATACAACGGTGGAATTGGGAGTGTTCCTGACGTGCTGATGCTTGTAAAGTTCTATGGGTGCAATTTGATCGCAGTATTGATGGGAATTAAGATGCGGCTTGGACTGATAGCTCAAAATTTTGTGGATACCCTCTGGCAATCAAACATGATAGACGACAGAGACATAGATGGAAAATCCATTAATAACGGATTTTCACATGTAACTCGCTATTTGTAATGGATTCTCCATTGCCAGATTTGATTCCCAGAGGGTAGCGGCTAGCGACAGACTGAGGTGCCGAATCTGACTCACCCGGACAGGGGTCCCAAGCGAGAATTCTGCTTGGAGTCGCTGTGGTGATGGGTACATAAATTGAACACCGAAACTACTGTGACACCACCGGTTGCGCGGTTCGGGATGTAACCAACCATATGCTGGTGATGAAGGCGATGAAGGCAATGGAGGTGACGAATGCTGTGGACATCTAATGCACTGAAGCTGCAAGGATACTCCAATCGGTGAAGAGGAGAACGCCACAGCAGCTCGCACGCACGGCCCGAAACCATCCGAAACCATTGGTTTGGTATGGTTTGGTCAATTTCCTCCATGAAACAACTGCTTGAAAAATGGGTAACCTAAACCTACATAATCTATATATATATATATATCATTATATATCTATATCATAATCTACCAAAGACATCTCTAGATGAACACTTCTGGTTGTCCCTTGGTACTCCATTTGTGGCTGCAATGGCATGCAATGGCTCAGGTCGTGCGCATCAATGGCGAGCCAAGAACATCTGAGTCGGCTGGCTTTCAGCTGCGAGATCACTTGGAACTAGGCGCCTCGGTGATGGCGCGAATCCCCGGAGAATGGAGGTTGAATGAGGCTGACAAAGGACAGCACATGAGGTACAAGGAGCATTTGCAAGTATATAAAATCTAAAAACTGAAAACATCTATATAATAACCGAGATTAACTGAGAAACATGATCAAATATAAGAAGAACATTGTAACATGAAAGAACTTCGAAGGAAGTTCCCAAAGTTTCCTTGATGGTTCGAAAGAAATCCCTTTCATGGCCGCGTCTTCTCAGAAAGGAGCAAATGGGCCCTTCATAAGGCATGAAGAAAAACAGCGATACGGAACGTACGGAAGTTTTTCTCTTTGGAGAAGCCTGGGGGGGTTTTCCACGAATTTCATCACAGCCATTTGATTCTGAAATGTAGCCGAACCGAAGACAGGAGAGATGCTAGACCTCTTCGACTTCGAATCGGGTGGCAAGGCGATGCGATGGGTTGGATTTGCTGAAGGGATCGGAACTTCTGTTGCATTAGAGGTTGGATATTTTCGGTTCCTGGTTCATTGGGATGGCTGATGGGTTGAAACATGTTGAAACCACCGAGGAAATGAGCCATACATGAGCCTTGTGGCTGCTGAATGACACATTGCGGATAGCACAGGAATCCCTACCTCCCTTTCAAGCACTGGGGTTGCAGGAAAACGCTGGGGACTTGCGAGCTTTGGATGATGAATATTGATGACATGCTCGATATATGCCCGATATATCCCGGTGTTCCCCGGGGAGAGCCAGAGCCAGGTGAGTGGCCAGAAGTTCCTGTGCCGCTGGGAGCAGCTGGGGGAAAATTGGGAGGCTTCCCGGATTCCCCCAGAAAGTGATCCTTTGCCAGCAATATGGCACCATATGGTACCCAAATATATTCCAAAAAACATCAAAAAACCAAAGTTGCTCGGGTCGACTTGGGTCAACCATCTTTGGGTCAACCATCTACCCTCTGGTAAACGTTTACATAACTATGGAAAGATCCACCATGCTATTAATGGGTAAATCCACTATTTCTATGGCCATTTTCAATAGCTACTTGTATGTTAAATTACCAGAGGGTATGGCACCAACTTTCGTACCAACTTCGGTTATCCCGTAGTATCCAGGTACTTCAAGAACGGCGCTGCCCTGCTTGAACTGGCGCTGGTTCAATGGGCGAGCCACGAGGCCGTGAAGCGCGGCTTCCAGCCATTCATCCCGCCAGATTTGGTCAGGGCTCGGGACCCAGGCCACCCAGGCGCCCAGTGTTTAAGGGAGCTGCAGCTGGTTGGATATGTTGGACAATAAACAATAATGATAGTATATGATGATAGTATATGATAGTATATGATAGTCATTGTTCTCATGAGGGGATCCAACTCTGGAAACACTTAAGATTCGTAAGTATGGATGTATATGGATGTATATGGCATATTTTCTCATATGTTCCGCAGATTATCTAGATCTTGGTGTCCACTGCCCTGAGGCTCCGGTGGTGGCAGGCTGCGGTTTCGCGCCGCGTGACGATGAAGCCACACAGCGGCTTGGACGATGATTTCAAAGGAAGTGGGGAGGTTGTTGAAAGCTGATTTCAACGGTTTATAATATATTACATGGTTATATAAGTTAATATTATATTATATGTTTTTTTGATAATAAGTTTTCACACTCTGATACTGTAAGTGATACTATGATAATACCATGATACTGGTTGTGCCATGATAATACCATGATACCATTTCTTATATGATTTATTGTTTGCATATGTTTGCATCGGCTTGTTTCAAGTGACCGCATTCAGTATCCGGAAATACATCGGGGACAGCCCTCAAGCCGAAGCTGAGGATCTACGAGATCAGTCACTGCCTCAGCCGGTGGTGCTGCAGTTGGGTTCACATATGGTTGACATCTCAACCGCGCAACCCATTATTTGAACAACTTCGAAAGCGCATTTAACTGGTATTTGAATGTATTTGACATATTTGTATAGGTTTCAACCAGTCAAAATTGGGATCTAGCTGAGGAATGATGGTTGATAATTATCCGGTTGTTACAATGCTACTCAAGATATTGGGAATTATTACTATGGACCCATTCACCAACCTTTGTTATGCGGATTTCCAATAGGTTTTGGACACTGCGCATTTTAATATGTTTTTTCTCATCGGTTCTCCGATTCCCCTGATGACAAATTCCTTCAATGGGATACCAAAGTGCATAGCTCCACTAGTGAACCAGGAGTTCCGTGGGTGGCATAAACAGGCAGAAGAGAAAAGCAACCATTGAGCTCACACAATCTCCATCACTACCAGCCAGCCGAGGTTTTCAAGGTGTTTTGATTCTCCACCCCTCCATCCATGCTTGGAATGATCATTATTCTATCCTCCCAATTGACATGTACAGAACTTAATATACAATTTGTTCTTTACACATGTCAATGGATTGGTGTAAGGGAAAATTTACAGGAAAGCCCCCTTTTTTTACCATGGGAAAATCGATGGTTTCCGGTTTCGATTTTCCCTACAAAACCAATCCATTGAACATGGGATGGGTTGAACTTACGAGTCATTTTTTGGGTGCTGCCAATTTTATCGCAGGCGACTCGGATCTCTGCCTGGCCGGGACAGCTGAGATTCCCATGGCAGGATGGGGATCTCGTGAGTTTCAAGCAGATTCTGAGTCCGGGTCGTGTTGAGTTATCTATATACCGACTGTAGTTATATAGTTTATATATGTTTATATAGCTAATCATAGTTATATAGTGATCTCATGTTATCTCTAGACCCCATTTTGGAGCCATTTTGGAGGCAATATTTCGGGCTGCGTTTTTTTCTTTTGGCCCCATAGATCCCCATTTTGAATGGTTATGAAGGTGGACCCATCCCAGCCATGCCAGGGATGTTCATGAACGAGACCTTGATCGCATCCAAGGACCGACTGGCCGACTGAAAAGAAAGGCTGGACAGGTTGGATATTTGGGGGGCCAGTTTCATCCCATCATTTCTGCCCCATTCTGCCCCCCTCTGAGCGCGCAGGAGCTGCCTAAGAGGCTTGTGGCCTTCAGCCATGCCTTCCGCACGGAGGCCGGCTCGTCGGGCTCCGAGAATCGCGGCATCTATCGCTTGCACCAGTTCAGCAAGGCGCTTGGGGTGGAGGATTGGGGGCGGGCGAAGGGTTTTTCAGAGGTGAAAAACACGTTTGTTTTTGGGGAGCTTGGTGCCAAATTTTGACTCATTTTCTTTGGGAAATGATGTTAATCAATGTTTGGGAAAGTCATGTCGACCCTGGAGTAATGAAGCTGTGGGCCGTTTAATTGAAGGGGCCATTCTAATAGCAAATTATCAATATCGGGGGATATACCGTATATCACCTACAGTAATCAATCAACATAATAGTTTATTAATTAATCCGGGGTTGACATTAGTGGCCATTTTCATCGAAAAACTGATGTTGATACTGTAGAAGAGAATTTGAGCAACCCCAGGCAAAGTACTACACTCAGCATTTCTCTGGAATCAACTGCTTAGACAATACAATGATTGCCGACTTGACATGCATTTACGCGCGTATATCTGAATACACACAAAAACGCGAACATGTCTTGTTGTACATGTAGGTCTATATGCACACATATATGTATGCAAAACCTTGCGCAATCAATACACATACATATGCACAGGTAGGAATCAATTCGGTAGGTGGAACTCTTTGCTGTGACTCGCAGCGACCTGGAAGAGTGCGGCAGC